TACTGCGTATTAGTGAACTTCAAAGAGTGTACTGTGCGTTTGTGCTCTACTGCATGTGTATGCTGTGTATTTTTGATGGAAAGCGCGCCGTGAGACCGCGTTCTCGCACCAACCAGAGGGGGCGGGGCGGCGTGTTCGCAGGAGCCGAGCAGGCGGGCGCAGGAGCCGCCGCATGTTGCCCGGCACCCGGCTCCCGGCCGCCGCCACCATTCTGCCCGCGCAGGCGCCGCTGGGGCCCGCCGCCGGCGCGCCATGGCCGCCGCCGCATCACGCGCTGCCCGCAGACGACGTCCCGCACAAAGGTAACCTCCCACACCCACACTTCGCGCGCGCCATGCGATGGTGTAACGGTTAGCCTACCGAACTGCTGTACCCAAGTTGGCGAGGTTCAAACCCGATCGAAGCCGTGGGTATTTTAAGGGCGAAAAAATTCTTCGTACGTCTTCCTTCGGAGGGGAAGTAAAGCCGGCTGTCCCATGTTAGTAGATTTATTTGCATGTAAAAGATCTTAAAGCCTAAATCGCCTGTTTCTCGCCCAGAAAATACCTCCTTTCTCTGCTAAATGTTGAAAGGAGCGTAGCGAAATTTGCGTGATCAGACGGAAGAGCAGGCCTCATGGCCTGAATCTCGCAACGTAAAATAAGGCATCAATAATTATAATAACACCTCACGCGCCGCCGCCCCCACATCGCACACGGCCGGTGGCGTAGCTAGCCTCCCTCCCCTCGCTCCACACGCTCTCGGACAGCTAATATTACTTGTCAAATTTTGACAGAAAGCCCCTTTATTGCCTGTGGCGAGGGTAAGAATCCCCACACTGCACACAGATTCAAAGGGCAGGGTTGATCAGAAATAAAACTACATGACTTTAAGGTATTCGTTTTCGAGTCTTCTGTATGAAAAAACGTATGCTGAATTTGTAAGAAAATTACTTCATTTGAACATTACACATTTTCGGAATGCAAAATTTTCCTTCCTTTTTTTAGCCCACCGCTTTAAACTGTAAAAGATTCTTTGATTGAGATATTTTTCGCGATGAATGAGAATGGAGATTTGCGATTTTCCTCAAGAATCAGTGAGAGCACGATAAGGGATAAGGGCCAAAGGATTTAGCTAATTTCCTGTAGGCGGATAGTTTCAATTACATGACATCTAATTTCTTGTAAAATTTGATAGAAAGGTCTATTATTGATAATTCAACGATGTAAGTCAAAAGAGCAAGGATAGAGATTCCACATCTCAAGAAAACGTCCACATACACGCAACACCATGCAAGTCTCACGCATGGATGTTTTTATTTGTTAAATAATTAGAAAATAAATATATACATCATTTCCAAATTAATCATTAAGTTAATTCTTGAAAATGTCAGTATGATTAATACCATATTTATAATGCCATATTAACGTTTTCAAAAACTCCTTCCACCATTTCAACGTTTAAGGAGATAGTCTCTGTGTAATCTATTTCTTATTTCTTAAAGCAATAGCAGTATTTTTCAACGCCGCCTAGAGCGGTAGGGAAGTAGCTACGCCACTGTACAAAACTGTTCTAAATCAAACATGTTCATTACACTCTTGTAGTACTCACACACACACACACTTACAGTACACTCTTGTAGTGCGTTCAGGCAAGGCTTGTGCTCTTTATCTACCAAGTAAATATCTATACATTTGTTATGGCGTGCATGATAGCAGAGAAAACTACTTAACATTTTCTACTGCATTTCCAAGACGTTTGTGAATTCACCTCCACACCGTCCCCTCCGCTAAACAGCACAAGTCGTGCGATGCCCGCGCACGTGACAGTAACTAAATACAATGTCCCGTTCCGTAGCCGATTTGCGCGTGAGCAATCCTAACATTTGATTCAGAGATATGTTCAGAATATGTTCATCGATTCAACGAACTGTTCTTAGCGACAATGACAACGATTTCTTGTTCGTCAGTGTCATTGCCTCGGAGCTGCTCTGACGATTGTTCAACAAATTAAAGGTTGTTCGGACTTTGAGAACCTTCCATTCTTATATTGACTTCGTTCATGATTTGCATTCGCTAACTCAGCGGAGTCTAATGTGCAATAGGAGTTTATTCTGTTTATTCCATTACTCTCAATACTCAAAAGACAAAGTTTATTTAATGCATATTGAACTTGACGTATCAGTATCTCACAATGATCTCTATGTATACGATATTTATACATGTTACGGAGGTTATTTTGCTCACCTAGTTGCTTTTCTATACAAATTTGCTTTCATAATCGAAATTCTCTACGTTAAGCTATAATCACTGCCACCTACTCATGATAAGTGCAAGTACAACTTCATTCTGTAAAAGAAAAAGTACGGAATGCCTATTTGCTAGATTTTTCTAAAGTACTTAAGAACTGTTTATTAGCGCATTATTTTTCTACACTTGAAAGTTTGCCTAAAGAGAGTTGCAGAAGCAGTGCTCGTGATCTCTTGAGCTTGCTCTTCCTGTTTACGTGGCAAGTACTACACTAAGGAGGAATAATAAATTTTAATTAGTAATTACGATATTATTATTATTAATAATAATAATAATAATAATAATAATAATAATAATAATAATAATAATAATAATAATAATAATAATAATGTCGGTCCCGTCGCGCAGACGGTTGCGGTCGTCTGCGCGGAGGAGGCTGCAGGTTCGTGTCTTGCGTAGAAATGGTCCTATTTGTGATTGTCCCTTCACTCCTGATCCTCTTATCATCTCATAATTCACACTTCAAGACATAACAACTTTGTAGTACTGAGGGAAACTGCTTAAAACAGACCTTTGGAAAATTCCACACGTTAATCGTGTAGCGTAGTCAGTAATGGCCTATATGTCAAACAACAACAACAACAACAACAACCACAACAACAACAACAATTCTTGTTTAGCGTATGAAAATGCACATATCATGTGTGTTGAGGCCCAAGAGACGAAGGAGGAACAGGAAGACGAGGGGTACCGCCCCGTTCCGCTCCACTTCGCCGCAAGGTCGCCCGCGGCCCCGCGCTGCTCCGCCGCGTTCTTTAAATAAAGCACATGTCGCGCGTTCGCACATGACTGAATCCGGGCGAAGATTTAATTAAAAAGATAAACGCGGCCACAGCAGCAGCAGCGGCGGCGGCGGCGGCGGCGGCGGCACCCCTCCGGGCTGGTGGCGGGATGCAGCGAGGCGGGGTGGAGTGGATGTCTCTCTGAGGGACAGGGTGGGATGGAGTAGTGAGGGATGCGGAGCGGGGACGATACAGAGGAGTCAGCGGTGCGAGGAGTGGCGAAGCGGGTGGGGAGTAGCGAAACGGGGGGAGAGAGGTGGGGTGAGAGGTGGCGCGAGGAGGAGTGGTTGGCTAGAATGGGTCACAATAAGTGAAGGGGTGGGGAGGCGGAGTGATACGGGACACGAGGCGGGGTGCGGCTAAGCGGAATGAGGCGGGGAGGAAAACGAGTGGGAGAGAGGGGCAGAGTGCGATAGTTTGGGGCGGGGATGAGTGTAACGTTAGCCACCGCACTGCTGTACCCAAGTTGGCGAGGTTCAAACCCGATTCGAAGCGTGGGTATTTTAAGGGCGAAAAAATTCTTCGTAGCGTCTTCCTCTGGAGGGAGTATAGCCGGGGCTGTCCCATGTTTGTAGATTTGACTTGCATGTAAATTTAGCTTCAAAGCCTAAATCGGCCTGTTCTCCGCGCAAAATACATCCTTTCCTCTGCTATAATGTTGAAAGGAGCGTGAGCGAAATTTGCGTGAAATCAGAGGAAGAGCAGGCCTCATGGTCCTGATCTCGCAACGTAAAATAAGGCACTAAATAATTATAATAACACCTTCACCGCACGACGCTCGCCCGCCATCATCGACACACGGCCGGTGGCGTAGCTAGCACTCCCTCCCTCGCATCACACAGCGCTCCTTCGGGCTGCTAAATATTACTCTGTCAAAATTTTGACAGAAAGCCCCTTATTGCCTGTAGGGAGGGGATAAGAAATATCCCGACAGACTACCCGTAAGACATGCACACGATTTCAAAGGGGAACAGGGTTGATCAGAAATAAAACTACATGTGACATTTTAAGGATAGTCGTTTATCGGTCGTTCTCTGTATGAAAAATACGTATTGCCCGAATTGTAAGAAAATTCTTCATATGTTCGACCACATTAACAACATTTTCGGAATGCAAAAATTTTTCCTATCTTTTTTTTACCCCAAACGCGGTTTTTAAATACTGCTAAAAGATTCTTTTGATTGAGTAAATATTTACGCTGAAGTATGAATGAGAAGGGAAAATTTGGCATTTTTCCTCAAGAATAAGTGAGAGCACGATCAAGGGATAAGGGCCAAGAGGATTTAGCTAATTTCCTGTAGGCGATAGTTTCAAATTACATGACATCTAATATTTCTTGTAAAATTTGATAGAAAAGGTCGTATATTTACTTATGAAATTTCAACGATGTAAATCAAAGAGCAGAGATGAGAATTCCACATCCTCAAGAAAACGTCCACATACACGCAACACCAATGCAAGTCTCACGCATGGATGTTTTATTTGTTTAAATAATTAGACAAATAAAATAATATCACTACATTTCCACAATTAAATCATTAAGTTATTCTTGAAAAATGTCAGTATGAAATTAATACCAATATTTCATAATGCCATATATTACGTTTTCCAAAAAGCTCCTCTTACGGCACCATTCAACGTTTAAAGAGAGTATAGTCTCTGTGGTAATACATATCTTCTTATTTCTTAAAGCATAGCAGTATTATTATCAACGCCGCACTAGAAAGCGAAGTAGGGAAAGTAAGCTGCGCCACTGTAACAAAACTGTTTCTAATATCAAACATGTTCATTACACTCTGTACAGTACTCGACACACACACCACACAGACACACATCACACACACACACACACCACTACACTACACGTACAGAATCTTGTAGCGTTCAGCAATGCATTGTGCATCATCTACTAGCCAGAGTAAATATCTACATACAATCTGTTGTGTATGGCGTGCATGAGCAAGAGAACGTGCCACAATTCACTTTATCTACGAATCAAAACTCACTAGATGAATTTGCCTTTCACATGGTCTGCATAAACAGGAGCACAACTGCGAATAAACTTTGCTCTCGCGCATCGGACAGCTTCTAGAATACTCATCCAACGTTCCTCGCTCACTAGCAAGGTGTGCACCGACAGTAGTAAACTAAACAGCCGGCGATAGCCGATTGCGCCGTGAGCAATCCTAACAATTGATTCAGAGATATGTGTCAGTAAATATGATTGCATTC